GCATAAAGCCTCTACCTTCACCTATCTAGATTATGACTCCTAAACCTCTAAGGATATTACCAAAAAATAACCCAATCCCGTATCAGCGGCGGATCCAGAACACAGAAGAGCACTGGGCCGCATTTCATTAGAAAATTAGAACCGTAAAAAAATATAATGATTATAGTTTTTTGCAATGTAAATTGTACACAACTGTATTTTAATTTAGGGAATGCATAAATAATGAAGTCTACATCCATACCAATAGACAATAGTATACACTGTTTCAAATAAAAGACTTGAGCAATCGACGAGAAATTTATCGCTCATTTTGTTGAGCAAATCAGTTCTCACATGTTTCATTGTTAAAAAGGTTCTCTTCGTAGTAGCTGTTGAAACGAGCAACATCAACACTAGATAAATCAACCGACTAATCAATTTACATTGTGTGTCCATCTCTGCACACCAGCTGCTTTAGTAAATTTGTAAGGGAACAAACCTCATATTTCTTTTAGTCTTTTACGTTTTTAACTTTTTAGAATTTTAGGTTTCATTGTTTTTTTAAGACGCATAATCTTTGGGGCTAAAATTTCTAGGCTAAATTTAGAATAGCGATTTGAATATGTTCAACTTGATAATTTTTCTAGTTAAACCCAATCTTATCATAGAATAACACTGGATTGAATGTTTAAAATCAAAAATTTCATAAGGACTATAGTAACTACGGATCCAGAGGAGGGCTGGGCCGGGGCCTGGGGTGGCCACCCCTTGGATCCGCCAGTGTCCCGTATGCACAAGGAAAACAATAATAAAGATAATATAATAATAATAGCCCAATAATGTAATAATAATAAAATACTAAAGATACGCAAGCCTAGTCTCCTACGAAATGCCTCGATGGCTGATCTCGTAACATCCCTCCCTCCTTGAGCACAACCTTGCCCTCAAGGTTGGTCTTCCTCCTCGATGAACGTGCCTTCCTCGCCTTCACCGCACACGCCAATCATAAGAAGAACGTTGTTATTGGCGCAATGATGACCAATGGTGAAGCGCTCATCGCAATGAAAGCATAATCTTTGAGCACGACATCGAGCGACTTCTTCTCGCGACATTCGACGTAAAGCTGGTTGTCGGGCGACATAAGACCCAGCCTCCACCCCTTGTCGTGGTGCTACTCTAACCATTGGGCGATGCTTGCTTAGTTCTTCATTTTTCACCTAGGCAAGACGAATGGCTCGTGAGACCCGTGCGTGGCTCTAGCCCAGCCGACTGCGGGCCTAACTCCTCTACTTGACACCTGTCCCCAGTTGAAGCCAAGGACCATGCTTGTCGGCCAAGTCGGTGTGAACATAATAGAAGGGAAACTTGATTATATTATCACAGAATAAAGAAACGTTTTTAAATACATCAAACTTAACTGTTGTAGCTAAAAACCAGCTACCACTCTCCCTAATACTCATCCTATCAAACGCAAACCAAGGAACTGCTAACAACTACAGTCCTTTAAACTAGCCACTACTTCTAATAGACAAGTAACCCATGAGTTCTACTAACTTCTAACTGGGCTTGTTATTGACTCAAACTAATAAGACACATTCCTAGCGCAAAGCCAATGTCTCGACCCAACATTTTGGTACAACATATCCTCCCCTAAACTAAATCCATTTCCAGATTGAGCTTATCAAACAGCAACCACATTCTTCTAACAACCACACTCTTCCTGAATTGCAGCACCTCCTTGTATTACAGCAATCACATTCTTCATTTTAGAATCCTTTTCCTCTTCCAGTTTGCACATTCCCAGCTTGCTATGAAACCTTTCAAACACTTCTACTTACTTTCAGTCTGCCCTGGTGTCTGCAACTTGATCTTTACTTCCACAATACTCAAGCTTAACCAATCTATCATTCACCAAATCCCTGAAAACATGGAATCTAACATATAAGTGGTTAGTTCTCCATTTCTTTTTCCTTGTATTAGACTCACCAGCATCATTAAGTCACACAAGCCTAACAAACTTCTTGCTGCTGCAATATTCATCACTTGACATTTTCCTCAACATCACCTTCTGGTACTTCATCTCCCAGCTGGGTTTTTAGCACGTGAACTTGTACTTTTCCCAGGAAAAAGATTTAAGCACTTGACATTCATCAACTAGATCACTTCTTTTGCCGTCTATGGAATCAAACTCGATGTATGCATCAACGCCGCCCAGTGGAAACATTATCCTACCCACTGCAAATGGGAACCAATAGCAACTCTCTCCATTTACTTAAAACAACAGCAACGACATTAGTAACATTCCCATGAGCTTGGACTTAACATTTGTTGTTAACCTCCAATGAGATTGGCTTTAGTTCAACTTCACTTTCTTTTATCTACTTCTTGGCTAGGCATGCTCAACTGTTTTCATTTCCGGTTTCTTCACTATACTCTCTCGACTTGTCCTCTCAAGTCTCTTCTTCTATGTCATCTGCCAACAAGCGAGAGTTGCACCTCAAAGTGCTATTTGCAAACTCTCAAATTGTTACTTGTTGCATGACATAGAAACCAAATACTTCTAAACTAGTCATTCGCCCACCGAATAGGACAAGTCACTTTGCTGCCTATTCATCGAATGACATTGAAACCAAACCTGCTTCACTCACAAGTTAAACCACCTTCTTCACTTGTAGGTATGTCTAGCTGACATTGAAACTCAACCTGCTTCATTCACAGGTTACACCACCTACTTCACTCGTAGGTATGTCTAGCTGACATTTCCTTAAACAGTTTCCCGAGCATCCTTGCACAACCATGGATTCCCATAATCCAATCATCGTTCCTCATCTCATATACTTCTTGAAAGTCTATAGTTGAACTAATGCTACAATTCCACTAACAACCTTCATAATATACTTCGACAGCATATAAAGAAAACGTACTAACCATTCTGTAAAGCTGCTGCCCATTCTCTCATTACTTCCTTCGCTGACTCCTTTGTGAAATCCTCATCACATTCTTCCTTTGTTAGTTGGTTCTCTTCTCTTTCATCCGATAACGCTAGCTCCTTTCCATTAGAACTGCACCTCTAACTCCAAGCCCCAGAACATAAACTTCACAGCTGATTCTCGACATCCTTCAATTCATCCTCCCCTGAACTGAAGCATATTGAAACAAGCTTCAGTTCACTTAGCTGGCATGTTACTGCTCTGGCACAGCCGCAACAACTTCCTCAACATATGCTTATATGACCCCACTGATTGGATGACCGCTCCATCCAACCTAATAATATACTCTGACAATTGCAGCAACAAGAAACACCTTTGATCTGATGACAACCCAAAAGCTGGCCACTGCACAGACTTCTCCTTTACCACAAACAAGTGCCCAGAACCATCCCTCCTAGAGCAAGATAGTCTTAGCACTCGGATGATGAACCCCATGCGTCTTGTATATGAGATAAAACTGTAGCTGATTTAGAGTCGAACGTCATATTGGCAGGCTCAAACACAACGTCGAACAACTTCAACGACTGCTTCATCAATCCCATCAACTTAAGAAAGGAAGCCTTCCATCGCCTCTGATTGCGAAACTGACTTCCTGACGGAAATCCCAAGCTTCCCGACATAGTATTCTTCCCACCTGTCTTTTAACAGTTTGGATTCAGCAAGATCCTCCACTCTCCTTCCAATATGTGGACTCCATATCTTGATGTCTACTACAATCAATTACGCCCTTAATATTTCCAGCAACATCAACTGTTACCAATGCTCATTAGCTCGCAACTTATTCAATCGACTCAAAATGAGGAGGAGGAGCGACGGGGCGTTGCTGATAATTCTTCAGCTGGTACAACAATCTCCGGAGGGGAACTAGGAAGCAACGAGGATGGGGTGGAGCCAGAATCTTCCGCTAGAAATGGATCCAACGCTGGTTATGGCCGGTTACTTTTCCCATTCCAATTTCTGCAAGAAAACTTTGTCGTGGTCCTCTAAGTCCTGCCGATTCGAGCTCCACATATCATCTTCATTCAAGACCACTGGCTGTTCTTTAAAATTCACCACGCCGAAACTCAAGATCTCCCCCTCTGAGCATAATGTGTGTTTTTATTGCTGCAACCGTTCTCTATGTGCACTGCAGCTTCTTGAACCAAAGCCTCTGTGATGCTTGAATTCATCTTCTCATGAATCTCTCTCCACCGAAATCAGGTTTTAATCCTCTCAAAGCAACCAACCAGATCTCAAACCCAGTAGCGCTTGAATCGATAGAAGCACAATTGTCATCGTAGCATATTAGTTTCGCAACATCGATCTCATCAGACTGAACATCCCATCAGAATCTCCACCCAATCCAGAATCCAATTCCTCCACGTCCTGGTTCTGGCTGCAGAATCGCGAGTTCAGAGGCAGAGTCGTCATCAATCGTGTTCGGAATCGATTGTCTCCATTTTCTCACTGGACTTCTCTTGTGTAGGTCTACCTAGCTTTAGCTATTGGCTGCGACTTCCAAGCCAATACCTTTCTTCTCTGCCACCGCTACCATCACTTATCTCTCTCTCTTTTCCTCCTCACACACATAGGCGGGCGGTGGCCACAGGTGACCACCGCCACCGGAGACAGAAAACACTTTAGATTTTCCGAGGCTCTGATACCAACATGTGAACATAATAGAAGTGAAACTTGATTATATTATCATAGAACAAAGAAACGTTTTTAAATACATCAAACTTAACTATTGTAGCTAAAAACCAGCTACTACTCTCCCTAATACTCATCCTATCAAAAGCAAACCAAGGAACTGCGAATAGACAACTAACCCACGAGTTATACTAACTTCTAACTGGGCTTGTTATTGACTCAAACTAATAAGACACATTCCCAGCCCAAAGACAATGTCTCGACCCAACTTTTTCGTCTAACAGTCGGCAACCCAACCATTAGGCTCTGTTGCGGAACCCAGCCCGCTCCGCCACCTGCTAGCCCGTTCTCCCCTGGCCCGTTGCTTCTTCCTCCATGAACTCCACCCCCGCTCGTCCCAACCTAGTTGGGGGTGAGGCCCAGTACGCCATTCGACAATTGGCTCTTGTAGAGGCCCAATCCTGTTGGGCTGTTCCTTGCATCCACAGCCCCGACCCAGATGGTCGCGAAGTCTGCTCCACTTGTCATGCTTCCCAGTGGCCTCTGACTTGTGTCGAAGCCAGTTTCTGGCCCACTCATGCTTGGAAGCGGCCCCACAGTTGATGCTCCGGCCTTGCATTGGCTGACATTCCCACTTGGGATGAACCCTGGCGGCCCATAGTAATTGGGCAAACCCAACCCATTTATTCCTCCCAAGCCCGGCCCGACCAGACCCGTTCCGCCACCTATTTGGCCAACCCAACCTATCTGGCTCGCACCAAAGCCTCCACTCATCATCCCTGTGTTCCCTGGAAGTTTCACTCGGTGGATTTCCTCTAGTCGAACTTCCTTGTGTTCCTCCGATCGGGATCTCTGGTACGCTGAGGTTGCCCCAGCCTGGATCGAGCGTCGTTCTTGTGGTCCCGTTGCCGCCGCCAGTTTTTGATCCGCTTCTGCCTTCCATCGGTGTCCCAATTCGCTAGGTGGCGTAGGTTTGTTGTCGTCGTTGTCCCCATCGATCATGGGGCCTTTCAGCTTCTCCACAGCCGTTGCCAGAGCTCGCTTGCAGGTTATTGCTGCAATTGGGGTTGCGGTCGGGCTGCCGTTGTGCGCGTTTCGGCGTCCAAGGCCTCCATTCGGCGATCCGTTGTCGCGATTGTCTGGGTTGCGATGGTTCGCACCAGATTTTCCAGAGCCCAAAATCACTGCTCATTTCGTGCCTCCGCCGCCGCAAATCCTTCCGCCATTAGCTTGGTGACGTCCGTGACCTTCTGGTCTAGGGATTCGACCCTTCCGATTAAGGGATTGAGCCGACCCTCCATGCTCCCTATCCGCTCCTCCATGGTGTGAACTTGCGGTTGAGGATGGTCGGGTTCCGACCCGTCGCTACTGTTGCCGCTTGATGCCTTGGAGTTCGTACATCCCAAGAACCGGGCTCTGGATACCAACTGTTACGTAGATGCGTCGTAGGGGTGGAATTCTACGTACAGGATCTTTGCTTCTCCGGACTTTTGGATACGTTGCTCGACGCTCTCGAGTAGAGGATCTCCTTAATGGCGAGAAAAACCCCAAAATAACTACGAAACTACTAAACTGAACGAAAAAAATAATCAAGGCAAACAAACATAAATAGGGTTCCAATCTTCTCATCATTAAACGAACGAAACAAGTACATATATATAGGCACAAAGCCTCTACCTTTACCTATCTAGATTATGACTCCTAAACCTCTAAGGATATTACCAAAAAATAACTGAATCCCGTACGAACAAGGAAAACAATAATAAAGACAATATAATAATAAAATCCAATAATGTAATAATAATAAAATACTAAAGATACGCAAGCCCAGTCTCCTACAAATGCTACGATGGCCCGATCTCGTATCAGTACCTTACCGGAGTGGTCTTACAATGACGAAAGTTGCGGCCGTCGTTAGGCGAGGAAGGACAGCGACGGGGAGGAAGGGAAGTGACGAGGCAAGCAGAGGAAAGTGGAGGTCGACATCGTCAGCGGGGGAAATCGGCCTGGGAGGCGAGCGAATGACCGTCGATTGGCCTTCGAGATTCAACGTCGTCGTCGAGGAGGCGAGTTGATGACCGTCCGCGATGGGACGGAGGGGATCAGGGGATCGATTGGGGCGATGGATACGAGAAGGTTTTCTCTGCACGAAAGCAACAGTCGATTTGTTTGCTTCATGGATTTGGTGAGGGATTTGGATCCATTATGGACTTTGTCCAAAATCTATTATTTGCTTGATGCATTTAGGAACAACAAATCCGTGGGTCCCATGAACTTTAAAGGTCCAAATCCGTGGACCCCACGGATTTGAAAGTTCCAGCTATTTAAGTGGGAATTGATCATGGACTTTGAAGTCCATCATTTAAGACCAAACTACCCTCCTATTTTTTTCTCTTCTCATACTAATGAGGGCAATAAAGGTAAATTTCACTTCATACATACAAATCTAATTAACCAATTCCATCATGAAATCTATGAAACAAACAATGGTATTTTTCAAGTCCATGATAAACCCAAAACCCTCATATATCCATGGTTTTACAAAACCCAAGTTTTACCAAAACCTTCATTTTTCAAATCCACGAAGCAAACGAAACCTGTTGTATATAGCCAAGCTCAAAATAAAAGGCGACATCGCCTCAAATAAAGCGTAGTAGGTCATTTCAGTTTGACCATTTAACCAGTTGCCTGACATCAGATATGGTTTATCCCGCCTCCATTGTAGCGTTGACGCCTTGATTTCGGTGATATCGCCAATGGCTGGACTCAACCGACTAGATTTGTGAATATTTTAATTTGCCGGTTAGAATTTAAAATATTTTAATATTATCGATTATTTATATAAATTTGCCGCATTATGGTCACGGTTCTCAATAAATGACAAAAGATAAAAATTCTTGAATAAAAGAAATATGATTTTTCCCCATAAAACTTCAACTGCATTTTTAGATTTTCTTTTGCATAAAGATATGCTTTTCCCACGGTTAATTGACTTTTACTTTTCGGCCGGATTGGAGGCCATAATGGGCCCATCAACAAAATTTTGGGCCACCATTAATCAACATTCGCAAAAGCAGAGAATTTGAATTGGGGATGTAGCAGTTTTCTCATCCAACTATTAAGTTAAGTGTAGAAATGAAAACGGCTTTCACCGGCAACACAATCCTCGCTTTCTTGCTCTCACTCATTTTCCTCGTATCCGCAGAACGGCTTATTCCAAAGTATCCAACCGCAACAGCGAGGAGGTGACCCCGATGGCAAGAGGAAGGGGAAAGCAAGGAGGAATAGTAGGAACCTGAGGTAAGACGTTGCAACGACTTTCGTGATTGCAGATTAAAGGCTTAATTCATATTCGGAATGTGTTGGTTAATCCTACCACCGTTAACAAAATACCCTAAATTAGCAAGGTACTATCACCTTGGTTCCAGAGTCATATGATATATCCTTTCATATGTTAGACATTGCACTATCAATTAAAAGTCCAACTCAATTCACCCATAAGTTTTAGTTTTCTTTCAACAATCAAACGAGAACCAGCTCTAGATTACTTGGTTCGAATTGCTTGTGCATATGGACAAGTGAATAAAAGCCACACAAATTCTGATAGATGGAGCCTTCCATCCGTTCCATAGTTTGATTTCTAGGATTAAGCCTTCTTCTTACTAGTGTGAATTCTTCAATAAAACAACTCAAATCGCGAAGCGAAGACCCACCTTCCTCAAGAGCACTCCTTGCCATTCCTCCAAACTTCCTTGTCATGCTTCTCATTTCCTCAGCTCTTTCTCCCACCATAACTTCCCTCACCGCTTTCTCCACCGCTTCCTTCCTCACAAAATCCCCGACCAGCCTAACCCACCGTCGAGCTCTGACTTCCACTCCCACCCTCAATACCTTGCTCACCAGCTTCTCGTTAAAGAATTGCTCCGCCGCCAGCGGCCACGTCACCATCAAAACCCCCGCAGCAATCGCTTCCAAAACAGAGTTCCAGCCGCAGTGGATCACGAATCCACCCACCGCCGCGTGCCCTAAAATCAGCAGCTGCGACGCCCACCCTTCAATTACCAATCCTTGCCCTTCAACTCTCTCCTCAAATCCATCCGACAGATCTTCCCTTCTCTTCACCACCCAAACAAACCCCTGTCCAGAGCCTTCCAGCCCCGCCGCCAGATCCGAATTCTGCGCTGCCGTGAACTCTCCATCAGAGCCGAACCAGAGGTAAATTACCGAATCGGGTTTCTTCGAATCCAGCCATTTCAAGCATTCGTGACGGTCAACTGCAGCAGCTTCCGTCACTGTCACCATCCTCCGCGCCGCCGGCGAAAAGAGAAACGGGGCCGACGTGCCAGGCCCGTTTCGCGATGGCTGATCTGTAGTGGTCGGCGTAGAGAGGTTCCAATTCGTAGAAACTGTTGACGAGAACGTCGTATGAATCCCTCTCCGAATCATGCACTTTTTGAAGAAATGGGTGAATACGCTTTCGGACTTCCAGGCTTCCGAGATTTGGCCCCTGGTGAATTTGATTCCGTCCCCGGGGAGATTCGGGATGACGAAAGAGTAGTCGTCGGAAGAGACTCTACCGTGGGGGTAGTGTTCGACCAGGCTCTGTTCGGCGAACAGGGAGAAGATGCACTTCCTGCCGAAAACTACCTTAGGGACGCCCAGACTTGCCGCCAATTCCGTGGTCCAGGTGAAGAAGGTGTCGGCGACTAAGCAATTGGGGCGGTGTTGTTCCAACAATTCTTTGAGCGGCTCGGCGAAGGTGGAAGCGGAGTTGAAGAAGAGGTCCGCCTTTGCTTCTTCGGATGCCTGCTCCCAGGTGATTGTCCCGGCGGCGGTGGTCATGGCGAGAACTTGGATTGGGGATTCGGAAGCAGATTTTTGGATGGATTGGGAGACTTTGTCGGTGTAAGCAGAGGTAGTTATGATGCTGCTCTTCACTCCTCTGGAAGCGAAGAGCTTGGCCAAGTCGATCATGGGGATCATGTGGCCCAGCGCGATGAACGGCATGAAGAAGATGTGGAGCTGCTGGTTTTGGTTGTTTGGACTGTCCATTAGGCTGCCAGGAATAAAAAAAGAAAAAGGAACTGATGGAAGGTGAAAAGGAAAGAGCTTTGCCTCTGAGTTCTGTTGTTTTGCACACTTCACTTCAATGGACCATTTCCTTCCTGGTAAGTGCCTAAGTGTAAGTTGTAATTGCGAAGGCGGCATTACAGTAGTCGTGGCTGTCTGTTGCGGCACAAATTTCCATGTCTTATTGTTTATCCTACCCACCGGCAGCAGCAATTATTCAGCAACATCATTTGCTGTCCCCAGAGCCGTCCGAGCAATATTATTACATCCTCATTTAAAAAAGAACATCCTTCTAGAATTTCTTTTAAATAGAATTATCTATGAGCTCTTCAATTTTGGATTTTCCAATTGATCAATCTTAATCGCTATCATAGCTAATCCATTGAGCCTTTTTTGTATCATTGTAGAATGCAAATAGGATTTCAACAACTTCAACTTTGAAAAACTTCTCTCTGCAGTAACAACAGTCACATGAATAGATAATAAGATTTTATATACCATAATAGCAATAGGAAAACAATCAACACTTTCCAAAAAGTTCAAATATGAACTTCTTGTAACATTTCCTTATGTAAAAATTTTGTAATAAGAACTCATTATATAAATAATTGCCATCAATATTTGATGTTATAATATGGATGACTCACTATCTAGAAGACGATGATTGATGAACTGATAATGGCTGAAATAAGAAGATGAAAAAATTTGAATTCAATTAAAATACATAATTAAATAAATTGACACGAAAAGAACCCAACTAGTAACAAAATGGATAATTAGTCAATTAACTAAGCCCACCTTCATAAATGGTGGGTACTCAATTAACCATAAGACGAAAAACAATTTGGAAAATTGAACAAGAGAGACAATCAATAGAGAGGAAGTGGATGAGATGGGAATAAAAATTAATATAAACGAAGAATACTATAGGTATAATATGGGGATTGCTATTGGTCGCCCTAAAATTCCTTATTCTTCGCATTAAATAAATTGATTTTACTCTAATGTCATTTCTTCATATTATTGGTTAACGGATCATTATAGTCTATATACTTCTTTGGGTTGACAAACAGATACCTTGATTTTCATATCTAACTAGTGTTGTATTTTATGAGGTTTACCAAATACATCCTCACATTTCCTTCTCTTCAACACATTCCGAGAATTAGGTTCAACTCTGTAAGTAGAAGCCACAATTTTCCCCCGACCCAAGACAGCGTCGGACAGGTTCCCGTCCCAAGCTCGCCGGCGAACCCGTCAAGCCAAAATCACAAAAAAAAATATATGGGCACGTCGGCAACATCGGGTCGATGGCGGTCGTCCACTCCTCTCTTCTCGGCAGGGGTCAATAGGAGCAGCAACGACTCCAACCTCCTCTTCCTTCTTGGGCCTTCTCCTGGTTGACAACGAGCACGGGAAGCGAATCAGCAGCGACAACGCCTCCGACCTCCTTCCTTCTTCGTCCTCCGTCCAGCAGCAGCTATAAAACAAACAACAGCAGCGGCTAGGTGGAAGACTGAGGAACGACAGCAGCGGGTGACCAGCGCCACGATCTTCTTCTTCCTCCTTCCTCAGCAACAACAGTGGGTCGTGGATTGAGGAATCATAGCAGATCGGCGTGCTAGGGGAATGGCCACGGCTGCCAAATCCGGTTGGTGGGATTCTTTGTCGGCAATTGTTTGGTTAGGGATTAGGATAGAAATTGCCTTGAGGGATATTTATATCAATTTAGTGCGTTTTAGGGCGATAAAATTTAAATTTTGGGACGACGAATAGCAATACAGATAATATGCACCTCTACTATGACGTTTTATCAAACATGTCCATCTACTATTTTTTGCATCAAACATGCCCCCTGTACTTTGGAAAACTTATCAAACATGCCCTTTTGTTAAAATTTCCATCCAAAAATTGTTAACCAAGATCGAACTTTGGTTTGGGCGACCTAAATATATAAAATATATATCTCTAATAATTTCACTTTAGAGTTTTTTTTGTTCTTTTGTTTAGCAAATAATTCTAATAATTTCATTTTGATGAGACCTAGAGAAATAAAGCAAGGGTCAAAACTGACATTTCTCCTCCAATTTATCGATGTCAGGTCATCTAAATCTCGGTTCAACCATGATTGACGATTTTTTCAATGGAAATTTTAACTGAAGGGCATGTTTGATAGTTTTTCCAAATTACAGGAGCATGTTTGATGTAAAAAATACTAGAGAGACATGTTTGATAAAACGTCATAGTAGAGAGGCATATTATACCTATAACCCTATATAATACTATAAACAATTGTTTATCTATGTATATTTTATATTTTTACCGTTGGTATATGCTAGAGGTAGAGGGTGGGATTGGATCTTCTTCTCATTGGACGCAACAGATGAAAATTAAATTGTTTACCGTTGTTGTTGGCATAATTATGGGGTGTAGGGATTTATGAAAGTTATTAGTAAATAGCAAATAAAAATTAATCACAAAGTAGGCTTCTAATCAATATCAACATAATTTTGTCCATCTCTAGAATGGCTGATCCTTAAACACTTGATGAATACCATTTAAGCCTACAAATCTATGTAATAACTATTTAAGGGTGAATTGCAAGTTTGGTCACTGAGATTACTCAAACATGTCACGTTTGTCACTAAAATTAATTTATTACATTTGTTTTCAGTAAAATTATTTCAGTTGTCCAAGTTCGGTCACTGACCGTTAGTCTGCGTCAGCCTCCGTTAACACAGTCAGTTTTTTGCTGACGTGGCTAAGGGAAATGCTGATTCACCCAATTTTAATAAAAAAAATTAAAATCCAACCCGTACAGTCAGCTAAGCCAGCCACATTAGTCAACCATACAACCCAACCTAAAGTACCCAGCCAACTCATTGATTAACCCAATGGGGGGGGGGGGGGGGGGAATCCTTCCGCTTGTATCTCTCCCATCGATACGCCAGAGAAAGGAGGAATTTGCTGGGCGCTGCTCTCTGTCCCATCAATTCGCCGAAGAGAGGAGGGGAATCCACAGCTACTGAAAAAGGAGGCGATTCGAATGTGCTTCATATCTATTTGTCGGCAATGCCTCCGGATTGAGGTTTTTTACTTCGTCGAATTATTCGGGTCTAATTGTACACTTTTTATACTTGTTTTTCTTAGGAATTTGAGGCATTTGTACTCCAAGAGGTTTGGTTTTGTGCTAGGTTTTTCCTTGTTTTAGCGTGTTTCAAACTCAAGCAGGTGGAACCAACCCCCGGAGTCGGAAGTTGGACGAAAAGATGCAAAATCGGGTAAAGGATGGAGGCAGCCGCAGATCACGATAAAAGCGAAGAGATCACGGTAGACAGGTCGTGAACTGAAGCCATCAACCATGAACCGCCATGCCTCTAGAGCAGTTTTTCGGTCTCACTGGACTCAAGCCAGTTCACGGTCTTGCGACCATGAACTCAAGCTAGAGACCGTGAACTGGGACCGTGATTTGAGATGGACCTGGGTATAAAAAGAGGCTTGAGCTGAAGGAGAAAAGGGGAGGAGACCTTGAGTGAGAAAACCTTCTTCTTCAACATTCTAGGCTTGAGCTAAAAAAACGCAGATTTTTTAAAAATCGGGGAAAAATCATGAGTTACTATTTTGCTGGAGCGCAATTTTCGATTTCTGGAACGCTGTTTTTCAAAGAACTCATAACTATAACCCTCTGCTCTTCCTTTCCAACAAGCTCTCTAGTTGGATATTTGGTGATAACGTTTCCCGTTGGGATCTCTATCGTGACCTTTTTGTGTAGAGCCTGTTTTACTCATCTCCACCGCTTCTAAATCCTAATACTTGATGGTAATTTGAACCCGCTTCGTAGGGTATTATCCGACATGACCCCGCACTGGGCGGGTATTAACCGGTAGGGCTTAATTACAGAGCATGTGTTACTGATATTCAACACTCCTAAATCCTAATACTTTATGGTAATCTGAATTCTCCTCAAGAGGATATTATCTGAACTGACCTTGCGCTGGGTGGGAAGTGTTGTAGTGTGGGTCGGGACTTGAGTACTACTTATAAACTGCCTCGTCCCCCGCGTCTCGTTCTTGATCCGTCCTACCTTGATTTGTCTCAATGTTCTCCTATTTTGACTTATCTTAACTCATTTTTCACCCAATAACACGTTATATATGCGCAATACTTCATCTTTTAACCAATTGAACTTAATTAGTTTACTTTTTACCTCTATTTTTTATTTATGAATTAACTCATTTCAATTTGAATTATCAGTAAAAAAAAATAAACATTTTCTTCAAATAGTATATCAAAATCGGTCGACCCCCTTAGATTGAATAATTTTCATTAATGAATTAAGATAATATACAATATGCATACAATAGTTAATTTTTCTGTATGAATTAAATACAGGACCCAACAAATCCATACCAATTGTACAAAACTAAGGATCCCCCATAATTCCACCTTGGAAAATAGGTTGAAGTTGAAATGATGAAATCCCTTGTGAGATTTTTTTTCTTGTTCCAAAGTAGATTTGTTTTCTTCACTAGTTAACGAACTTGTACGTTTGGGATTCTCGTAAATAACTAACAAGATACAGTCTCGGAATTACAGTGACCTAGTGTCTGTTCCAAACATCAATATCAAAACCAAACTTTGTATATATATTAAAAAAATACTAAATGCAAACAAATTATTATCTAACTAACGGTTAAGTATGCCTAATTTTTTCCTTGTAAACAACAAATGCCATGGAAGGTTGAGCATCCTTAGTGTAGTAACTAGTACGTGGATGCTCTATACTGTCTATAAAAGCTAAACCATATTGCCTTCCTATTGATTCATCTCAGAAAAACCTTGGCAACACTGATCGTCATTTCTCTCATTCTTCATAATCAAGAGTCATATAATTTCACAAGAGTTCGAATTCTCAATCATGGCTCTTCCAAAAACACTCGTGACGTCAATCGTGAGAAAGTGGAGGAAGATTGCTACCGTGAGAAGAATGGGATCGATTGCTTCTACTTCTCCTCCATTCAACGCATCATTTTCTTCTTCCGATAGAAGGGGTCATTTCGTGGTCTACACCATGGATAAAAGTCGTTATACAATACCATTGAAGTTTTTGAAAAACGAAGCAGTTTTGGAGATATTGAGGATGTCTAAAGAAGAGTTTGGATTCTCAAGCAGCAAACCAATTGTATTGCCGTTTGACACTTTTGTAATAGATCAGGTTATTTCATTGATCTTCTCACAACAAAATGGAGATAAAGTTCTTGAGCAAGTACATAGAAGCGTTATGGCTACAACCAAGGGTTGCTCATCATCGAACCAGAGTTCTTTTATCCCACACCACTCTTGCGAAAGCTTGTTTGTTCTGCAACAAGGTTGATTATTGCCTGTATTTGTAACTGTTATCTATATTACAACGATTTTTCTATCTTTTTAGGGTGTTTTGGTTCTATGTTTTGAAATTAATGATATTATTTCAATTTGATAATACTGCTTTCTAATAAGATGTATTTGCTCAAAGTATAAGATGTATAATTTTTTATAAGAGAGAAATATTTCTATTAATTAAATGGAATTAAAAGATTACAATATACATAATTACTAGCTCAGTAGTCTGCTTAGGTTCGAGTACCTAAAGTAACACTAAAAAAGAAAGAGCTCTGGTTTTTCCAAAGCGCAACCAAAAAGATTTCGAAACCTAGCGGCTTTGTTGTCAATGAGCGAAGCTCTGTCAGGAGCTACTCCCCCGGCGCCACAACCACCGGACTCCTCTACTGAGCAACGTCCACCTCAGCTGGCATCTTCCTCGCCGACTGGTAAGGGGGATCGTGAAACCCAGCACACAAAAAAGAATGCTCGACTGATGTGTGCAAATCCACTGTTCGTCGTAGACGAGATGGTGGAAGACCCCGAGATGATTGAGACTGAACCTACCGTGGAAGAACCTGTGAAACCAGCGTCGCTTCCGCAAACGGAGATCCCACCCTTGGCATGGGGAGCGGGGGCAGGAGCAAAAAACTTTTTCTCCGACGTCATCGCAGAATCAAACTCTAAAGATGTTGCTGAAGCCATGAAGATAGAAAACCTAGATGACGAGGTGTCGGAGGATGAAGATCCCCGCCGCCCTACAATTCTGCTCACGTCCATGGAGAAGCAGCGATATCGTTGTTAATGACACTGAACGCTTATTGTTAAAGTCTTGGGACGTACGTTTCCGTTCCCTGTGATCTCCCGACGATTGGAAACTCTATGGGAAAAGGACGATTACCTCCAGATTTCAAGTCTTTCACATGGGTACTATGTGGTGAGATTTACTTACCAGATGGACTTCGAGCAAGCAAGGCTAGGAGGACCATGGTTGATTAGAGATCACTACATCACTCGCGCCCCAAGCGGAAAAATTTCAACCCGAAGAGTGCCAAATTCGCACCAATGTTGGTTTGGGGAAGGTTTCCGGAGCTGCCAGTGGAGTTTGTGAACTATGAGGCTGTGGAACGGATTGCCTCACGGATTGGAAAACCAATGAAAGTAGACAGTGACCATGACGGGTGATAGGGTAAAGTTTGGGAGAGTGTGTGTGGAGATTGATCTCATCAAACCGCTCCTTTCTCAGTATAAGATCGAAGGAAAGACCTACAACGTCATGTTTGAATGCTTCACAACATTTGCACAGAGTGTGGGAAATATGGGCACTCGTCCAAATCATGCCCGCTTTTTCAGAAAGAGACCGAGACGCCACCACCACAGGAGACCAATCCCACTGTGGCTCAAGGGAACAAGGTGATCTACGGAGAATGGATGATAGTGAAGTCTCAGAATGATAGGAAACAGCGATCGAAGAGGAACTGAGCACAGCCTGCTATAGAGGTTATTGGGGATAATGCCAAAGTCAATGGCTCTCGTTTTTCGGTGCTAGAGAAGGAGGATCCTCCCGAGGTAATGGAAATTGAAGTCGATACCAGTGAGAAACTCAGGAGGAAGATACTCAACAAGCCCAGGTAACCACTAAGCTGCACTCGATGTTAGCGTCCACTCATGCCAGGAACGCAGATGATGAGCTAATCCCAACTTCTCGCTAGGAGACCCATCCGCAGGTATCAAGGAGGGTGAAGGTGTGAGGACCATTCACCCCCGGCAGCAGCCAAACCAGTGGCCCATGACTAGGTTTCTAAACAAAACCAGAATGGGGCGGAACACATGAGTATGACTAAGACGCAAGGTACAAAAAGCATTCGATAGGAGCTGGTTGATGTCCCGATAGCGCAAGGTGTTAGGAAGGGTGGCCTTGACAATCTAATGGGAAATACCAAAATAAAGCAGGCAAAGTTCCAAGGAAAGAAAGGCAAGGCGACCGGGAAAAATGGAAGTAATATTACCACTCACCCAAAGGGAGGCAAAATAGGGAACGTGGTAGGCCAGAGGGCTATTCAAGTCATCCTGACGGACCTGCGAGATCCAATGCTTCTATCGAGGGGAGATAAGCTCCCTGCTAGCTTCGCGTAGTAGCCTTTCCCCCGACACTGCACTCAGGAAATTTCCTTTCGTCACGTTGAGCGCTTTGTATTTATTGGCTGTGGATTACTTTGTTTATCTCTTTTAATGTTAAATGTTCTAGCTTGGAACTGCCAGGGGATAGGAGATGAGAGTTTTTTCACGTCTTTGCGTACTTTCAGTGAGGCCACAAAACCGGAGATTTTCATTATTGTTGAACCGCGTATTAGTGGGGAGACAACTCATATAGTGATCCGGCAGACGAGCTATGATGGTTGTCTAATAAGAGATGTCATTAGCCTTTTCAGGTGGAATTGGGGTGTTGTGCAGTGGATAAGAGTTGATTGTGGAGGAAGTAACATCCTGGGAGCAGATGATACATGTCAAATGCTCAAAGATATCAAAGTCAAGTGAAGTGGTGGCTATTTCAGCCTGTCTTAGAGATGTGTGGGACCATGGGCACTAGCAGGAGATTTGAATTCCATTCTATGGCCAATGGACAGGGGTGCCAGAACGTCATTCTTGGCTGTGTTGCCGCCCTTTTAGAACTGTGTGGATGCTAGCGGGCTCATAGAGGTGGAGTTTACTAGTCCCAGGTTCACGTGGCAGAGGGGGCGCTTAAACAACCCATAGATAGAGCTATTTGCAATGATATGTGGATTTCTCGATACTCGTGCACGATCACTCGACATCTGGAGAGGATTGGTTTGGACCATAGGTTGATTGTGCTAATGGGATAGGGTGGGAAAGTCTCTAGACCAGGACCGAGGCCGTTTCAGTTCCTAGCGGTGTGGCTCGGGCATGATGACTTTGAGCGGGTTCTGACGAAAGGGATATGCTAGGAGTGTCTATTTCGTTCGGTCGACTACTTCCTGATGAAGGAGCTGCAGCAGTGGAACTGGGCCGTGTTCGGCCACATCCAGAGACGCAAGCGAAGGTTAGCAAAGAGCCTCTTAAACGCGGAGTGGGACATTGAGAGGGGAGATAATCCGGCATCCCAAGAAAGAGAACATAATATGTGAGAGAAACTTCAGGAAACACTGTGTCAAGAGCATCTTTTGTGGCTTCAAAAATCGAGGACTTAGTGGATTGCCAAAGAAGATCAGAACACCAGATTGTATCATTTTTCCACACTGAAGAGAAGATGCTTCAACAGGATACGTGGACTACGAAATGGGGATGGCAAATGGGTTTACGATGAAACTCTTCTCCAAAAGTTGGCACGAGACTTCTTTGTGGAGTTGTACCAGGTTGAGATGGGAACCTATCTACCATTGTCGATTCACTTTCGGCTGTCAGCTCCTCGCAGTGGACAGCTTAGAACGAGCGGTGGATCAAGAAGAGGTATGATCTGCAGTGAAGAGCATGGGCGGCCTCAAAGCCATGGGAAGGATGGGTACCCTCACTTATTTTATAAAAAAATGTTGGAAGGTGGTGGCCGAATCTTTCTCAAGCTTCGTGGGAACACTATTCAGAAACCCGGACCAAATTACTGAAATCAATGAAATTCTCTTGGTTCTCATTCCGAAAAAAGGAGAAAACCGAGTTCATTAGTCAATTCAAATCGATTGGGCTATGTAATGTGGTGTACAAGACCCTAGCAAAATGTCTGGCTCACAGGGTTAAGTCGTTGATGCGCAGCTTGATCCATCCCACTCAGACTAGTTTTGTTTCGGGCACCATATAAATGATAACATCATCATCCTTCAGAAAGTGGTTCATTCTATGAAGCTGTAGAAGGGGAAGAAAGGAGCTATGGTCTAGAAGATCGATCTTGCTAAAGTATACGATGGAGTGAACTAGTTGTTCCTGCAGAAAAAGTTATAGGGTTCAGGTTTCCCGGTGCACATGATTAGCGTTATCATGGTGTGTGTTCCGCATCCTCGATGCAGGTTCTATGTAATGGTAGCTGCAAGGAAAGCTTTCGCCCGACCAGGGTGCTGAGGCAAGGTTGTCCCTTGTCACCGTATCCCTTTACCCTTTGCATGGAACGACTTAGCCACATCATCATGAGAGAAGTAGAGAGGGGAAAATAGAATTTTTTGGTTATAGCTCCGGGTGCGCCTCCCCTATCCCACCTCTTTTTTTGCTGATGATCTGATTCTGTTTGCAGAAGCAAGTACGTCGCTGAGCCAGGTCATCACAGATTATCTGGATCGGTTTTGGATGGCCTCAGGGGAGCAAGTGAGTATGGAAAATCGGTAATATTCTTGTCAAAGAATGTTTCAAATCAAGAAAGCAGCTCTATCTCTCCAGCGGCATGCATCCCGATCACCCAGGATGTAGGGCGCTACCTCGGTGTGCCGGCACTACATGGTCGGGTCATTAAGGAGACATACAGGTATATCCTAAACAAAAATGATAATAAACTGGGTGGTTGGAAAGCGGAGAACCTTTCCTTTGCAGGTCGGTTTTACGCTAGGTTTCTCGTCTTTTAGCATGTTTCAAGATTCAACAGTTGAAACCAGCCTCGGAGTCGAGAGTTGGATAAAAAGGATCGAAAACAAGGAGAAGAGGTGAAAATTGGTCAGTTCATGACTTTCCCAGGAAGTTCACGGTCATGCAATACTGTGAAGAAGAGCCCTTGACCGTGAACCGTGAGTCATCCAGAGCCAAAACAGAGGTTACTAACGCAAGGTGAGTTCGCGGTCACTAAGACCGTGAACAGAAGTGAACGAAGCGACGGGTATTGGCGCACGCCTGAAGTTCACAGACGCATGGTTCATGGTCGTGAACTCAAGCCGTGAACTGAGCTCGTCTCTAGTTTAAAAGATGAGCTGAAAGGAGGAGAGAGGGAGAGCCCATTTTGAGCTGAAAGGAGGAGAGAGAGAGAGAGAGAGAGAGAGAGAGAGAGAAACACGAACCAAGGGAGAAGAAGCCTAGTGTTTTGCTTCAAGGTGGATTTTAGGAAGATTTCCTCTAAGGAAAGTTCAACACAAGGGCCAAGAAGACTGGGAGCATCCTCCAAGATGGTTACCACATCTTCCCCCCTTGTTTTCCCCTTTTCTAGCATGGAGTAGATCTCCTTTCACTTGTTGTGAAACCCTAACTCTACTATGTAGTTTTGATTGTCATTGGATATTGTTTAATTCAATGATTGAGGTATTATTCATCATGATTGTGCATGCTTGTGCTTAGCAACCTAGGGGTTGTGCATGTTTTGGTGCTTAGCAACCTAAGGATTGTGCATAATTATACTTAGCACCCTTAGGTGATGAAGATGGCTCGTGGCCTTGAGGAAGATGAAGTCTCCACTCTTGAGACCTATCCTTCGCGTTTGCTCTTGTCTCATTTCTCCAAACCAGATAAGATATCATCGATTGACCAGTATCACCAAGAGGGATTGATGTTGATGTGGTCTTGGTCTGGCAAAGAGACACTGCAAATGGGTCCTTGCCAAGCAGCTCCTCAAAGTTTGGTGGAGATATCACATGTAACTCATGGCCGGTGCATGCATCTTCCACCTCAACTTCATCCTCAGCCTGGACACCACTTGCTTCTTTACCCCCCCCCCTCCCCCTTCCTTCATCAGAATGTGGTTTCTCCCCTTGGAAAAGATCAAGAACTTCCTCTTCTTTGCTTTCTTCCTCGTCCTCCACAACTTCTTCCCTCACCCTTTCACGCTCTTCTTCTTCTAGCACAGATTGGAGAGCAAGTCGCCATGTAATTTCTTCAATGAGATCATCTTGCATCTCTTCGCTCGGGCCCAGCATGTTAGAGCAGAAATGAGGAAAGGTGTGATCTGCAACCAAAGGACTTTCCTGATCATGATTATCATGGGAGTTCTCTGTGATAACTTCTGTATGCTCCTCAACGTCCCCGTATCCTTTGTCATCCTCCACCTCTTCTAGCATGGTAGCAGAAAGGTGATCTTGAGCAGGATGTGAGCAAACTTTCTCCACCCACTCTGTTTGCTTCACTGAGCACTGAACAGTCTCCTCCATTTCATGGAGAAATGAGGGATCGGAAGGGGCAAGGGCTTGGATTTGAAGATCCATCTTGGAGCATGATCTCTCAGTGTCTTGAGCAAACTGCTCCACGAGAAGCCTTAATTGTTTGTTCGGATCTTCCAGTGAAGTGTAGCATGGCTCTGCAGAGTGGCCCGTGAAGGCCTCCATGGCTAACTCCAACTCAGATGGCCCCTATGGTTGTGGCAGGAACTTTTCTTGAAAAGGATATTGTTCTTGAGTTTCCCAAGGGTTTGGTTGTTCTACGTAGTAGGGGGTTGGTACTGACATCCAAATCCATAGTCTTCTCCTCCTTGGTTGCTCCAGGAAGTCTCGGGGTAATACCACACGGATGGGGGTTGATACCCCCAATGGTTGGAGAAGCCATGAGGATCCATGTTTCAGATCTGCACCAACAAAAATATAACACCCAAGTGAAAAGCAAGGGTGGAAAAGAAAAGAAAAAAAACTAAAGTAACAGAATTTCACGTTTCTACAATAACCTAGAGATCCCCGGCAACAGCGCCAAAAACTTGACACGCTAAAACACAACACCAAACTGCGACCAAGTGTAATCGCAGTCCGGGAATGCAGTAAAGTGGCAAGTTCTAATTATCAACCCGGGGTCTAGATCTACTGCCTACTCCGTGAATATCTATTATCTAAATAACTAAGTCGATTGATTGTGGTTCTAACTAAAAATAGTAAGAAAGCAGGAAATGGTTCGGTTTTCTGAAGCAAAGGAAGAGTCACTCGGGAATGAGTCCCCGTAGCTCCCTAGTTAGGTCACAGTTGTAATTACTTTTGGTTGCTTTATTGCTGATTATATTGCGGAAGATCCGACAGTAGCTTGGAATCTCTTAAGCTGACCAAGCCCTCTTAGTCAAGCTACCCGGCAGACGGCTAGTCTTCACCAGGATAGAAAGCTGAGGCAATGAACACAGAACTCCACTACTGGAATTAGATTCCAGTACAAAGTAGTGAATCGACTAACTCTCATATAATCGATTCACTACTACCGATTGAAGAAGCACTAACAACCTAATCAGATTCTGTAACACCCTACCCTATACGTTTTGCCTAATCATATTGTTCATACAATTGCAGCGGAAATAATCTCGGGTGTTACATTAATTATCAAAATTTACCTAAATAAAATTTCGACATGAATTACTCGCGTAATGGGCTAACAGTTCTTGCAACTTAACCTGCAAAATAATTCATCACAAACATATATACTCACAACCATATGCATTGGCTTTTCTTAGCCATAGTCACACTTTTCATACTTCCTAACTGCATACCATACTTATACATACCATAATCGTCACAACTTACACAGTTACACAACATA